GACTCAGTGGCACCTAATAACAACAACAAAATGAGGGTAAACATTTTTTGGTAAGATGAAGTTTATGGGGATTTTGTAATGGATTTAACAATTTGTAATGCAGCTGTTCATTGTTGATGGCTCAATCAAATCTCAAAGCTTTGGGTTCTCTTTCCCCCCTCTAGGTGCTTCATGATCATCTTATAAAAGAAACACCAGATACACTCAGTGACCCACAGTAAGTGGTTTTGTTTCCCTGTAACTCGAATTACTCATCTATGACTTGTAACTTTTTTCTTTTTAGAGAAGAGATGCTAAATGTAGATATGAAAATACTTGATATAATGCTATGTGCAGGTGCTGTTTCAATGGCAACTGCTTGCAAGTTGTCCTGCTATTTAACCTTACATATCTGGAAGCTACACATATGCATTTGGTTCTTTTAGAAGGAAATAGTTTTAGTTTTTGTTTTTCTTTCAAGTTTTACCTCTTGTCAGTCGTAGCAGGCACCATTTCAAGAACTGATTGAAAATAGTTGAAGAGCTGTGAATAGTTCTGTTGAAAGAGTAGCAAAATGATCCGTTAACTTTTACTCTCAAGTTCTAATCAAACTTTTTGGAGCCTGTAAATGGAAGTAATCCTAAATGCATTGGTATCCTTTTTCTAGAATAACCTAGCAGTTTGCTAGTGAGAACAATATAACTTATAAGCTTATTTTAAGCCATGTTTTTTCCTCTACTTTCATCTTGTAGTAGTAAAATATGTGATTAAAACTCTGTTCCTCTAGTTTGAGGAAAGTTGTTGCCACAGTGTGAATAGAAGATAGAAATAAAGCATGGAGTGTTATATAAAAAAAAAATCCCATTTGTTTTGTCATTTGAAAGCAACTATGGTAAATACTAAGGAGCTCTGGTAGCATAGTGGTTACGAGTCAGGCTGCCAACCTCAAGGTCAGCAGTTTGAAACTGCCAGCGGTTTTGCAGGAGAAAGATGAGGCGTTCTGCTCCTGTAAAGATTTACAGCCTAGGAAACCCTGTTCAGGGTCACTATGAGTCGGAATCGACTCCAGGATACTTAACAACAACAACAACAATGGTAAATACTAAATTATGAAACTTTAAAAGTAAAAGTGCCAAATAGGCAGTTTGACTGATTCTCAATTTTTATGTATATTTTCTTTTTTCTACATCAAGAACTGTTCCAGAGGAAGAAAGAGAAGCCAAGTTCTATCGCGTTATAACTTGTTCCTTATTGGCCTTAAAGAAATTGCTTTGCCTCTTGCCAAATAATGAACTTGATTCTCTGGAGGAGAAATTTAAGTTTCTTTTATCACACAATAAGTTTTGGAAGTATGGAAAACACAATATACCTCAGGTATCTCTATCTTTCTTAAAACATTTCATTCTTTCTTTTTTTGTTTTAATAACCAAGGAACATTTTTTTTTAAGTAAAACTCTTCTTGAGGCTGTAACTAAACTTTCTTACCACCACCATCCCATTTATCTTGCAAAAAGGTTAATATAGTGAATATTATAAAGTAGACATGAATATCTTGGAGGATTGGAACCAATATTTGTTGATAAAGAAAAACTCTTTTCTTGTCATGATAAAAATGTTAAGTAACAACAACAAAAAAAGGGCAGCAGGGGTTTCAAATTGAATAAAGTTCTTTCATTTCATCTAATACATTTCATTCTGGTTAGAATGTAACTGAATGGAAATAAGACCATTTGGAATAGAAAATTTTTATATAGCCCACATGTGTTCCAGTCCTCCTCCCCACATCCAACTCAGTTATTTCGTAACCTGTTGAGCCTTTTGATGAAGAAGCATGTTGATCCTGTTAATCCTGTGTCTGTATAAGGGTTCTATGTCTGGTTAACAGTTCAGTAAACAAGACAGTGGAAGATTGCCAGATCACCAGTGAAATCAAACTGAATGGTATCAGATGTGATAGAGGAGCTGTTGGGTTTATTATTTTTCAAATGCTCTTAAAATATTTTACAGGCGTCTTCCGAGCATTCATGCACAGATTCATAGTTAGCCTAAATTCGGCCTTCTGGTCTCAGTAGGCGGTACTAGCAAAATAATGTGGGACACCCTGCCAAGCTTTCTCTGCAGCTGCTCATTTTAAGACATTTCTTTATCCTCTTTTTGTTGTCTAGC